TACCACATTAGCAATGTATAGAGTGTATTTCTCTAAAGTTAAGACTAGCTTAAAGTTATATTCATTGAAAAGTAGTGATTTTCCTTAAAAAATAAGGACATTTCCATGTGACCCCAAACTTTTGAACGGAAGTGTATGTTTCTAAGGTGGGCTCTGGTTGAACTGTGTTCTTGAGTCAACCACATTGTATGAATAAAACTGCCTGACTGATCCTTAATGTGTCTTCACCATGTTTCTAGCTGTCAAAAATAAGTTGTGGTTTCACCATCACAAAATTTAAATGGCTTTAATTTAATGTATCTACCCAAAAAAGTACCTCTGTTTAGGGCTTGGAGCAGCTGTTGTCCTCTTCTTTGTCTTCTGAAGATATTTGCCAGTCTTCAAAGCTGTCTTTGCTTTCTTTGGAACAGGAACAGTGGTTGGAGCAGTGTAGAATTATGAGTTGCCAGTGCGGGGTTTTGCTTCATCTCTCTTTGCCCAACTCTCCTGTGATTGACCCATGTCCTTCTGTTGCATTGGTTTTAGGAGTAACTGCTCAGGTAAATGATGACACATGATGTGTTCTTTATATCTACCCTGTAGAGAGGTAAACATTTTCCTGACAAAGCTCCCTGGCCTCAGTCTCCTCTGCTTTTTTAGAATAGAATGTTTCACTATTTCAAACCATTTCTCCACATGGCAGTTTGTGTCCCTTGTTTTGCTTGGGCCAAAAGTGTCCTCTTCTTTGTCAGATGCAAACCTTTTTTAATTTCCCAAAAGCAGACCACTCCAAAGGGGAAAAAGGCCCAGGTAGTTGTCAAAAAGAACATCAACAACAACTGGGCAGTAGTAAGGATTGTCCACATCTTCTTTGATTTCTGCATTCTCTTTTTCAAGCTCTCCTTGCACCTCCTTCAATACCTTCTTAAACTCATAGGTGAAGGGAGATTTGCCCACAATTGTTTTTGCATTTCTTCTTTCTTCATCACTTTCCTCCTGAGCTACAGGACTTTCTTCAAGATTCTCAGTCTCTTCCACGCCAGGAATCTTCACTTTTTTTTATCAAGTCCTGTATGGCCTTCAGATTTTTCTGCACAGTGCTGGTGTTGTATTTGCCAGTTAATACAGTGCATGTAAATTACGGTTAGCTGTATGAAGCGCTCACCTGTACCTGAACGGTTGGCTGGCAAGCCCTCACCCGTTCTACTGATGCTGATTAGCTAAAATTCAAACACACTGCAACTGTCCAGTAAGAGACAGATTCCAAAAGGTTGAGTGTTGGATTTTTATGTAGAAGAAGTTTCCAAAATACAGATAGGTGTGGTTTTTATCATTCACGCACAGCTCTTTCAGAAACCTCCACCGTTACAGCTGTCTGTGTAACCATCTAGCGATCCGCGATTGTAAACTCGAACGGCAGTTGCCGTGGGCGGTCCTAGACAGTTCGAACTGGAATGCGATTGGCTGGCTGTGATGATGACTGACAGCTAAATTAACCAATTAAAAACAACAAAACTGTATCAACGGGACTGGCCTTTTTAACAGTGCACAATGAGGGGAAGATTCTAATTGCAGAGGCCATTGATGTTGTATTTTGCAACCTGGCAAATGCAAATGTTGCAAACTCCTGAAACCCTTTATCATGTGTCTTTCTCCCAATAGCCTGTGCAACAGCTTTGAGCACATGCACAGAGCAAATGTGAAGCACTGTAACCATTTGGATCTCTTTCCATGTCTTTATTTTGGAAGAAATAGCAAAGGCCCTATCCAAATAGCTTTCAGTGCTGTCCTTGTTGTATGACAGAAGGACACTTTGGAGTATTGCCCAGCTGTAGTCTGTTTCCACCCGGTATACTCTTACCTTTGTGTACTGTGACAGTTTTCTGCATTAACCAGAATGTAATTTGTGGTATAGATAGAGAGTTCGTTGGTCAGCATTTCACAGACTGGGAGGGGAGGTATATTCTGACCACCACCAGGAAGGGTAAGAGAGTAGTAAAGTACTCTTTTGGTCTGACCTGGACCTTTACAAACAACATTACCTGTAGCATCTAGGTACAGGGTCAGTGGAGCCTTCCTTCTCAGGTGTTGCACTGTTATGCTTATTCCAGTTTCTGTATACATGTGTACACCAAAGGGGTCAACTTGTAAGTGCTGTATGTACCCAGGCATCTTGTGGAAATGGAAGTCACATTCCTTCATGATCTTTTGAGTTAGGTACATCACCATTAAAACATCGTCATGCACTTTTGTTGCTTTTGTAACCTCTGAACTAATCACCTTAAGCACATTTTTGTTTAAACATTTGGTTATGTTCCCTGAAATCAGTTCATCAACTGGTGTTTTTTTGAGTTTACGATAGAACACTTGGCTCACTCCTTTATGCAGGGCTTTGGCAATTCTCCCTGTTTTTCCTGTTTTTGCGGCTGGTCTGAATTATTTCTCATTTTTCTTGTGTGCCACTGTTCTTGTTTGCAGCACAGTTATCTTGACTTGATTGTCTCCCACTGGCTCCCTGTTCCTTTTAAAAAAGTATTTTGCACTGCAGGAAGGGAATGTACAGACAGCCCTTACATTTAAATAAGGACTGTTAATTTTCCTGCTGTTGACTGGTTTTATGTGCTGGCTCTTGAACGAAAGGATACAACAAGGGTTCTTTTTGCAGAAACTGCTATATAACACACTTGTCCATGATTGCCTAAGTTTTGTGGAACCATGGCACGGAACAATTTTTTTCCATTTCTTTATATTCACTGATATTGTGAATCTCTTAGGCACCACTGGCAACTTTCTCCATTCACTTTTATTTCCGTTCTTGACGTGTTTCAGCTTAGTTCTTTTTTTTATGTTATTTTTTTATCTTGCTCTCCTCCTACTTCTTTCTCTTCGGTCTCTTCTTGTGCAACATCTTCATCGTCCTGAACTGAACTCTGCAATGTCATTGTCTTTTCTTGTTCTCCTACTTCCCCTAGACAACCGACCTGCATCATGCCCCATACATACACCATTCATAATTCTTCACCTTCAGATGACATGGATAAACTTTAGCATATTCTGCTGTGAAATCAGTCTCTACGTTTTTTTACTTGAGGATTCCACCTATTTTAAAAGGATGCACTGCTTTGAGTGGTAACTATCAGACAGTAAACTGAAACACTTGTTAAACTGATAAACAGAGCATCGCTCTGGACAGATATATACTGCAAAAACTATCTAGAAATAAATAAAAATTTCCTAAATTAAGTGTATTCACTCTTAATTTGAGTAGGTAAATGAGATAGTTTGCCAATGGAATGAGTAATTTTACTCTTAAAATAAGATAATTAGATAATATGCACTTGAAATAAGAGAATGCATTTGTGTTTTCTTATTTTAAGTGTAAATTGTCCTTTTCCGTTGGCAGAATGTCTCTTTTACCTCCTCAATTCAAGAACAAATGCACTTATTTTAAGAAAAAAATAGTTTCACAAGCAACCTTCTCACCAAACCCCGCACTCTCTCTGTGTATTCTCATTATCAGTTCGTATGAAATTGTACGAAAAGTTATGCACCGTAATTTTGTACGTTTTGGACATTTTTTTCAGGGTATTTCGTGGTATTTTTACGTCTTGCCTCCAGACAAGATATCCTTGCGCATGCACATGTTACACACCATTCAATAACATAGAATTTAACATAGAATTAACCCTAACCCTGACCCTAACCCTAAGATACAAAACAGCCAGAAACGTAGTTAGAGACATGGAGTAGTAATTATTGCACTGTTTTTCCCAGTTTTACGTCCGTCCGCGGATCTGCTTTTTTCGTCTGTAAGAGATCAAATTGAGGTGAGATGTGCCACATAATTTTTTTCTGCAACCGGTTGGTCAAGTCCATATGTTATAAATATGCTATATGAATTCATAAAATAAACATAACCAATAAGGTACAAATGAGGTTTACAGGGGTTTTGGTGAGGCTACAGTTCAGAATAGTATAGTTATTGATTACTTTTTCGAAATAATAATTCCCCGAAAATATGAAAAGATAATTTATTTATATCTTAAGAGTTGTATCACCAGTAGGGTGTGGATGATGTGTACAGTAATTTTGGTATGGCTGCAGTTTAAAATAGTGCCATTATTGATAAATATATACTTATAACAACAAAGAAAAATTCTCTAAAAATAGAGTTTAGCATATATTCCCAAAGTAAGAGCTGTAGTATGATCCAGATGAGGTTATCTGTGTGTGTGTGTAATTATTGGACATTTTATACCAATTGCAATAATAACATAGAGGTTACATTTGTCATTTAGGCTTTGGGAAAGTCCTCAAAAAGTTTTATTTTCAAATCCAATAAATGTGGTATGAAAGACATGAGATGAGATACACATGAAATAAATTAGACAATAATCCGCCACTCCTTGGAGACGCTTTTGAATATTTCTCTATGATTATTTCTACGGTGTTGTAACTTGCAGACGGTCCCAAAGCATTCGCGGAGCGGCAAGCTCTGCATTGGGTCCAATGTAATTCTCCCAGCGCGATAGGAGACTCGTTTTGAGGAAACTACGATTGTAGCTCACTGTCTAGCGTGCCGTGGTTGCGGAGAGGTGTCTGTTTTGTACAATAAATCCTCCGCGGACGAGTTATTAATCCCGAAAAGCCAAATCTGCCAACTTTACTGAAGTAGTTTGCCGAGGCGGTAAAATTCCACCAGGCGTTTGAGGAGGCGAAGGAAAAGTCCCGCCCTTGCTGGCTTTGGGGACTTCAAATATGAGACCCTGGAGAGCCTCTACAGCTCTAAGGACCCTCAGAAGATCCGGTACGAGAGAACGATAGAAACTGTGTGTGTTTTGCCTCGGCTGGGATGTCAGAATCTTCTGACTCTTTTTCTCACCCTCTCAGGTTTGTCAACTATCTGCGCCGGACGTCAGCCGTTCCCGGTTCCCAAAAGGAAAAGATCATAGAGTACGTCCGGAGCAGAGGCAAGGAGAGGGTCTCCTCCACCGCCGCGGCAGGCTCTGTCTCCTCCACCGAGGGACTAGCGTTGGCAAGGTAGCTGTCAGCCAGGACTGCCGCACAGTCTGGGTTTTTTTTTATTAGTTATATTTTATTATTATTATTAATATTTACTAACATATTTTTAAAAATTGAGAGATTGTTAAAGTTCATCAGTGCAGCTTCTAAGGTGTCTTTGTGATTTCAGGTTCGCTGCCTTCGTGTCGTCACGCAGGCCTCTGTCTGGGTTGGAGATGCAGGCTGCACTGAAGAGGGTCGCCTCCTCACCTAAGCCTGTATTTCCAGGTGGGATGAAATTCCAAAGAGATGCAGCTTGACTCTCTTCTGTGGTTTAATGTTTACGATTTCATCTCCAGCCCGCAGCAGAGCCTCTAGACCAGGGGTCCCCAACCTTTTTTAAACTGAGAGCTACTTCCAGTGTTGGGCTAGCTACTTGTCCAGTGTAGTGAGCTAAGCTATCAGTTACTCAACAATAAATCAAGCTTCACTACACCAAAGCTACCACCTAAAGAATTATAGCAAGCTAAGTTACGCTAATGTGTTAACAGTAGCTTAACTACATCAGAAGCTACTTAACGTTGTACCAAGCTAATGTCAATTCAAAATGAGTCTGACACACTAGTTAAAATATTTATTAAAGGTCAGCCAATGACATAACACAGTGTAAACATTGCTTTATGATCCGCATATTAAAATAAAAACTGAAGTAATTACTAGTAGACAAACTAGTAAACAATCTGCTGTTATTAGAACCAAATTAAAGGTACGGTGTAGTGTTCTACACATGGAGACATGGCTATGAGTTTGCATTCAATGGACATCTCTAGGGAAAACAAAACCCTACAAAAGGCATCTTATTTCTTTAGGGTCTCCCTTAGAGAAAACTTCTTCAGACCTCAATTAAAGGTACACTATGCAACCGGTGTTGATTTTCCAGCGAGGCTCCCCCCAGAGGGCAAAATTAAAAGTGCACTGTCGTAAATATGCACAGCTGTTCTCCTGGTTTCTCCGTCAAGCCAGGCGCGGTTGTTTTGAGCTTAGCAGACAGGCGAACGCAACGAATGACTAATGCTGCGTTCACACTGGACGCAGCTGGCGCGACAGAAGCAGCGAGTTTACATACAAAGTCAATGGTTGATGCGCGTCCAGGCGCAGCAAAAGGTCCCGCGGCGCGTTTTGAGCAGCAGGCGCAGCGCGTCTGAGCAGCTGAAGCAGTGCGTCGGGCGCGTTTAATCATCTGACGCAGGGAGAGAGACACAGCGCTGATGATCAGAGGCTATGATCACTCCTCTTAAACAGTTTATTGACGCCTAAATTAACTTAAAATGCAGAAATCTGCCGGCAGAATATGCAGTTTGGATTATTTAGATGAAAAACATCTACAAGCTGCCGCGGTGAGCCGCGAGGAGGCGACCCGGCCAAAGGCTGATGAAGGGAATCCTACTGTCGGCGCACTGCTGGTATGTGGGGGTCTGAGCGCCTCCGACAGAAAAAATATTGAAGGCAGGATAATAATCTGAATGAACTGACGGCACTGATTACGTTTTCAGGTGTATTTTCTCACTTAAACACATATTAAAACTACTTTATTCCCACTGATCACAGCAAATATAGCTGCAAGGCAGAGAAAGGATAGTGAAGCTCCGCCCAACGCGCGTCAGACACACTTTTGCACCGCGCAGCCAGAGCAGCAAAGCTGCTTCAGCCGCGCGTCAGAACTAACTGGTACAAGCAGCAAAAATGAAGCAGCAGACGCGATTTTGCTGCGTCCGATGTGAACGTAGCATAACTGCACAAAGATCGCCACTGTGCTAGCAACGAGAATGCTTTTAACTGGGGGGTGTAGCAGTTCTCGCCGTAAAGCAAGACTGACTCTCGTGAGACTTCTGAGCCGGTGGGTGCAGGCCGGTTCTCCTGCAATTGCAAGTGCGGTATTTCCCCCACAGACCACCAGGGCGGCCGAGAATACCTTTGTTCAACCTGAAATGACTCATTTAATCATCCAAAACGTTATGGAACACATTAATTAACTGAAAAATGTTGCATAGTGTGCCTTTAAACAGTCGATTCAAGTAACAAATGAAACTGTTTACAAAAAAGGTGAAGAAATAAAGAAGATAATTAAGAGATACATATATTTATGTCTCACCATATAATTTAATTTCAACCTACATATTTATTCATTGTATTTTTGGGGGCAATTAATTGAATGCTTATTTATTTATTTATTGAGAATTTATTTATTTATCTATTTATTTTATATACGGTAGAGCTGTTCCTCCATAAATAAAAAATCTTATCTGTGCACAGCCTAAAAACAGATTTATGTAAACATCCTGTCAGGTAAACTAGGCCATGAAAATACAATATGGAAGTTTCACTACTGCTCTCTAATTAGAGTATCTTAGTGGCACATATGGGAGAATTATCCTGCCATAATGCAAGAGCACATCATTTCAATTTGAGAAAAGAATTTCTTCTTCTTGCACTCAAAACTTATAATGCTCACACTCAAAACATGCGCTCTCTCTCAAATATTTTCTCTTCTCCCTCAAATCTTTGTTTCTTCTCTCAGATTTAATGCTTCTTGCACAGATATTTTCTCCTCTCGCTTGCCTCCTTCTCTTCGCGCACAAACCGCGCTCTGCACGAGTCTCAGATACGCTCGCAAACCCGTAGGCTCTGCTTGCGGATTTTTTTGCTCTCTCTTAGTTTGCAGTTGGATCGTCGCCTAGCAACCTTTCCTGCCAATAGAACGACAGCCTCGGAAAGGGTGCGCTTGTTTAACCCTACTGAGTGTGCCTGTGCTACTACGCTTCTTATAAGAGCGTCAGCTGAAACTGCTATTTACAGTAGTTTTGTGGCTGATTGTTGTTTCAAAATAGAAAACCTAGTTTCATTACTTAGTTATGCCCTGGATTTTGTAGCGTTTGTGGACGCTACGTCGCTACTTGATCAAAGCACTAACGTCGCTACAGGAAAGTTATTTGATAAATAAAGCAGCGACGCTACGGTCAAGCTACTGGAACATGTAGTTAAACTCATAGCTTCGCTACATGTAGCGGTGCTACTGCCCATCACTGGCTACTTCATCGGTACCATGTCACATGAAGGGGCTACCAATACTGACCTTTGAACAACAAGGGTCAGCGCTTACCAATAAACATATTTGCAATGCTTTATTTAATTTAAATGTTCTCATTTTTTAATCTTTAGAAGTGTCAGTGTGATTACAAAAGTAGAGGAACAGACTAAAATAACCTTTTAGAGGCAGCTCACTGGAAGGTTGTGCTAGTTTTAGAACAGGCTTGAGGGCACCACATGTGGTCCTTGGGGGCTACCTGGTGCCTGTGGGCACCATGTTGGTGACCCCTGCTCTAGACCAGCTCCTTCCAGACATCTGTGGAGCCCACCGATGAGGAGCTGGTTGAGGCTGCTGGCGACATGGAGGAGCGTAAGTAACGAGCATCTAATTTATCAGACTTTTTGTTTGCAAAAAAGTTATGACTGATGCTGATGGTTTTCTCCCATTTTATTTCACAAATGATAAAATAAACCAGATGAACCTGAAGTGAAACAGTAAGTTGGAGTCAATAAATAATTTGCTTTTGGCAATTAGCTGTAGCTCACTTATCACTAACTGGGCCGGTGCTTTTCACCCGTAGATTCCTCATCACGTCACCCGTTTCTTCCTCTTGTTGTCACCCAGGCTGCGTCTCAATTCGCAGGCTGCGTACTTGGTAGGACGCATTTTGAGGCCGGTGACGTCACAACGCTGCGCGGAGGCCGTCCCATTTGGCAAAAATTCTGAGGACGCTTAAAATGCAGCCTCAAAATGCGTCCTCCTTTTCCCCGAATTCTGAGGATGCATTGCTACCGTCCTTAGTGGCCTCGCCTCCCACTAGATTTCCCGAGGTGCTTTGCGCGCTTTTTTTTTTTTTTTTGTTAATTGAAGAAAAAGAAGAAGAAGAAGAGAGAAAAAAAAGGCAGAAAAAATGGAAAGCAGTAGCAGCGCCGGCAGTAGTAAGATGGAGTACACTTTTAAATGTGAGTATTATTTTTGTTTTATTTTACTGAACATGTATTAAAATACATGACGGTAACGGAGCCACCGGGATGTGTAGACCATCTAAAGCTAAAGCTTAAAGCTAACCTGTTGATACGAGACGCTCAACAACAATTGAAAGCCTTCATAAAAATGTCACAATTATTAACCTACATCTTGTAACTTTGCTGATAGCCCTCACTAATCGGAATTATTTATTCTCATACAGTTTATTACATAGGATTAGAACTGTCAAAGCTTAATGCAGCTGAAGAAATAACATGAGTCCAGCTGTACTGGGCTGTTAATACTGTAAACATTTTGTTTTAATACTCAATAATGTATAGTTATTTTACAGTGCAGTAAAATAAGGTTTAAAGTATAATTCACTTGAAGAACAATGCCGGTGTAATTATACAGAACAGTAATTTTGCCTGTTGACTTAACAGAAATAGGCTTTACATGTCATTTTGTTCCAGGGAGCAGGGAGCAGACAGAGGAGATGATCAAACTCCGTGGGCGAAACGACCACCTTTTTACCGGCGCCAAAAATACTGCAGCAGTCGGTTGGAGGTAAGAGTTGAGGCATAATTCCATATACATGTTGCATTTCTATGTAAAAGTCACACAAGATAAAAGAAGTCCTGTTCAAACACCAACGTACAAATATAATCTTTTGATCACATGATATGATGCCCAGATGCCCCTTTTGATCAATCTTATATTTGTGATAGAAGTGATCCTAGTGTGTTTATCTCTTCTCATTTCTCTTGTTTAGAACAATCCTGCAGAAAATGGGCCTGGAGGGAAAAGTTGAGCCACAACAGGCCAAAAAAAAAGTGGGACAACCTAAAAAAAAAAATACAAAGTATGTTCAGGTTTTGATAATGTAATGAAATACACACACACACACATATATATATATATATATATATATATATATATATATATATATATATATATATATATATATATATATATATATATAGATAGATAGATAGATAGATAGATCGATCCATCCAAATCATGAAACACTCCTTTTTTCTAGTTTTAAAGAAACACTACATAAAATTGCATCTGTTGACAAAAATTGTTTTCCTCTACTATAGGAATGCAAAGATCCAGGGACAGGGCAGGGTGTCAGTGGTAGGCCTACTGCTGCCACCTGGCCCTGGTTTGTCCTCATGGATGAGGTATTAGGACAGAGGCCCTCTGTTGCCCCACCTGTCCTTATTGCCTCCATCCCTGAGGACACACCAGGGCCAGGTGCTGCAGAGGCTGAGCAGCATCAGGGCAATGACGAGGAAGAGAGTGAGGATGAGAGGCCAGGAGAGAGGAGGGAAAGGAGGAAGAAAAGAAGGAGGAGTGACGAGTTGCTTGAATTGATCAGGGAGGATATGAGATGGCAGAGGGAGGCGGAGGAGAGAAGAGAAAGAGAGAGGACAGAGAAAGGATGGACAGATTGTTTAATTTATTGAGAGGATGGTGGACAGACGTTAATTTTTGTTGGTGTGTTCTTTTTTTTTTTGGTTGTTGCTGTTTTTACAAGTTCAAGTTATGTGTTGCTGTTATTAAATTAAATTATTAAATTGTTTATCAAAGTTATTGTTGTCGGTGTGTTCTTAAAGTCTTTTAACCTTTTTACATCATCTGTTACATCACTTCTTGACAATTTAAGTAAACGCAGAACAACTTCTCAGTGACAGCATCAATTTATTTTTTGAGATGCAATTATAACAAACTATTAAAAATATTTTAAACTATTTACAGTCAATTTTAACTACTATTTACAGAAGATGTAAAAGAACATATATATACAATTTCGACTGAGCAGGAGTCCCTGGTGGTGCTGCTGGACTGGATGGGATGCCACACAGATGAGCTTGGAGTCTTCTGCTCTTCATCCTCTGGGGCCATGATGTCACCAGCTCCCAGGCAGATGTTGTGCAGGACAGCACATGCCGTTATGACCTGTAGAAAAAAAAAGACAAAAACATTTTATAGTATATTTGAAGAAATTAATTTAAAGCTTTTTATCACTTATCTATAAGCAATAATTCTCTCATTTAGTAACATACCTGAGGCACAAAGGTGTGGTGCACCTCCAGCGCTTGGAGGAAGATGGCCCTGAACCTCGTCTTCATCATCCCAAAGGCACGCTCTATGATGGAGCGTGCCCTGGAATGATGGCTGTTAAAGCGCAGGGCTCCCACACCTTGTACCGGCCGCTTGAAGGGAGTCATGAGGGGGAGTGGGTGTTGGAGACACGGGTACCCACCATCTGCCAAGATGAAGTGGCCCGGAGGAGGGTAGATGGCCTGCCTGTACAGTGGGCTGTTCCGGAGCACTCTGGAGTCACCGACCCCGGCCAGCCCACGTACGTGTCGATGAAGCGGCCCTGATGGTCACAAACTGCCTGCAGAATGATGGAGGAGAACAGTTTCCTGTTCCGATAGCAGTGACCATCAGGACCGCTTGGAGGCTTGATCCTCACATGGCAGCCGTCGATCGCTCCAGCAGCTTTCAGAAAAGCTCTGTGTCCGGCCAGCCCTTCAAACCCCTGGGTTACTGCTGCCAGGTCTTCTGCAGTTTTGGGGAGGCAGATGACTCGGTGGCGGATGGCCACCACCTCCTCAGTAACCCGGTGGACGATGCGGTGAACTGTGGAGCGAGGCATCCCGAACACCCTACACTGTTAGACATTTCAATGGGTTTTTTACAGTAACTTACTGGCAACACGGTTGCCAGTAAGTTACCGTAATCTTCATTTACAGTAGTAGTAGTAGTGGTACTGTATGTTGAGTTTACAGTAACTAATGTTGTTACTGTAAACTCAACATACAGTACCACTACTGTAGAAATGCTTACTTTACAGTAAAATACTGTATTTCTCTCTCTCTCTCTCTCTCTCTCTCTCTCTATATATATATATATATATATATATATATATATATATATATATATATATATATATATATATATATATATATATATATATGTATTAATATATATATATATATATTAATACATATATATATATAGATATGTAGTAATATATATATATATATTAATACATATATATATATATATATATATTAATACATATATATATGTGTATTAATATATATATATTAATTTAGATTTGTATATAGTATTTTTCATGCACTGACTTAATGTAAAATTCTTAACAACTGAATAAAAATAGCTTTGATTTTAATGGTTGAGCAGTTTTTTCAATAAGCCTGCTAATTTTGCTTAATTGATTTGTTATTAACAATTATAATAAATCAAAAACAGACATATATATTCCAAAACATTCTGGTCTTTATTTAAAACACTAACAAATCGTAAAAGAACCACAAGATAATGTGTGACTTTCAGCTAGAATTCTCAATTTAATTCATATTATTATAGACAATACTTTTTTCATTTGCTCAGAGCTTAAAACATGTAACAAAATCAATTCCTTAAGATCGTCCAGTTCAAACATTTAGTTAAGTTGTTATTTATTCAAATTTAAGTCATATTATTAAAATCAGTAGTTCAAAGAACAACAGTTGTAACAAACAATAGAAACAGCATTAAACAGTATAACCGTTCAACCTATTTTGTAAGAATTTGATTGCACTCAAAAAGGAAAAAAAGAAGAACCTTACATAAACATAAATTGATCAAATGAACCGAACCTGGACAGGGTGTAGCCCCATTTCATGAGATTGTATTTGTCTTCAGCTGCAGCTGCACAGAACCTATAAAGGATAAGGAAAATGAACATCAGTATAAGTATCCGAGACTACAGTACAAGCATCCATTTTGAAGATATCTTAATGGGAAGAATCTTACCTAATTCAAGTTCTTCCACTCAAAGTCTGTTAGCTGGCGAAGAAAGGACAGCACTCTGTTGTTTATAGTGGCTGTCTTCCGCTTCACCAACACTCCAGTCTTCCGACTCACTCCAGTCCGTGCGGTGCATTTTGTTCCATCTTCTGGATTTATTCTCAAGAAGAACCTTCAAGCAAGATGAAAATTAATGGCAAAATAAACACAAGCAAAAAAACAAACGTATGAATAATAATAATAGAAAAAAAAAAAAAAAAAATATATATATATATATATATACACTATATTGCCAAAAGTATTTGCTCACCCATCCAAATTATTGGAATCAGGTGTTCCAATCACTTCCATGGCCACAGGTGTATAAATTCAAGCACCTAGGCATGCAGACTGTTTTTACAAACATTTGTGAAAGAATGGGTCGCTCTCAGGAGCTCAGTGAATTCCAGCGTGGAACTGCAATAGGATGCCACCTGTGCAACAAATCCAGTCGTGAAATTTCCTCGCTCCTAAATATTCCACAGTCAACTGTCAGCTGTATTATAAGAAAATGGAAGTGTTTGGGAACGACAGCAACTCAGCCACGAAGTGGTAGGCCACGTAAACTGACGGAGCGGGGTCAGCGGATGCTGACGCGCATAGTGCGAAGAGGTCGCCAACTTTCTGCAGAGTCAATCACTACAGACCTCCAAACTTCATGTGGCCTTCAGATTAGCTCAAGAACAGTGCGCAGAGAGCTTCATGGAATGGGTTTCCATGGTCGAGCAGCTGCATCCAAGCCATACATCACCAAGTGCAATGCAAAGCGTCGGATGCGGTGGTGTAAAGCACGCCGCCACTGGACTCTAGAGCAGTGGAGACGCGTTCTCTGGAGTGACGAATCGCGCTTCTCCATCTGGCAATCTGATGGACGGGTCTGGGTTTGGCGGTTGCCAGGAGAACGGTACTTGTCTGACTGCATTGTGCCAAGTGTAAAGTTTGGTGGAGGGGGGATTATGGTGTGGGGTTGTTTTTCAGGAGCTGGGCTTGGCCCCTTAGTTCCAGTGAAAGGAACTCTGAATGCTTCAGCATACCAAGACATTTTGGACAATTCCATGCTCCCAACTTTGTGGGAACAGTTTGGAGCTGGCCCCTTCCTCTTCCAACATGACTGTGCACCAGTGCACAAAGCAAGGTCCATAAAGACATGGATGACAGAGTCTGGTGTGGATGAACTTGACTGGCCTGCACAGAGTCCTGACCTCAACCCGATAGAACACCTTTGGGATGAATTAGAGCGGAGACTGAGAGCCAGGCCTTCTCGTCCAACATCAGTGTGCGACCTCACAAATGCGCTTCTGGAAGAATGGTCAAAAATTCCCATAAACACACTCCTAAACCTTGTGGACAGCCTTCCCAGAAGAGTTGAAGCTGTTCTAGCTGCAAAGGGTGGACCGACGTCATATTGAACCCTATGGATTAGGAACGGGATGTCACTTAAGCTCATATGTGAGTCAAGGCAGGTGAGCAAATACTTTTGGCAATATAGTGTATATACACTTTATTTGTCCCCTTGGGGAAATTACAATTTTGGAACATTCCGGGGGAACTTGGGTGTACAAGGCCATGCTGACGTGGAAGGCTCTGCCCAACTTAACCTAACCTAGCAGAGCATGTTTTTAGTGGTAGGGGAAATTGGAGCACCCGGAGGAAACCTATGCAGACACGGGGAGAACATGCAAACTCCACACAAAGTCCTGCCAAGACCGAGCGGGACGCAATATCCAATCCAATAACCATTTATAGTAAGATTAAAGTAGTTTCAACTACATGTTATGTTCCACTGCTGAATAATCATGTTTATTCAAGCTAATGTAAATATTCAAGAATGAAAATATTCAAAGTTTAAATTCTATTAACAATTCAGTTTAATAATAACAGAACACATTCCACATCAGCATCTCCTGTCTTTGAAAACCATTATCCTGAAGGTTTTAGATGTCCCCATGCAACACACTTGACTCAAATTAAATGACGGTTGCTTTCAAGTTCTGCATGCTTAGTGGTATAAATCATGATGGAGAATTTTTGGACATGGTAAACCAATGTCCATCTTGATATCTCACATGAATGGGGGAGCAAAATGAGAGTCGCCTGCAGTTTGCCTTCAGGGACTCATGTGGGACCAAACCAACCCCCCTCTACCCGGGCAAGAGAGGATAAAGTCCTCCCACAGAGGAGGGACTTCTGCCTGGATAACAAAAACAACTGGTTGTGCTTTGTTCTTCCTCTTTCGTGAAGCCCTCCCAGAAGATTCACATCGAAGGAGCCCTGCCAACATCCAGCAAGGTCCGAGACCCAGATCTCGAAATGGACTGAAAGCTAAGTCTGATCTAATGCCTGACATTAGAGTGCTCATTCACACTTTCAGGTGTTAAAACTGCCAGAACAGAACTTGATTAAATAATATTGCTGCCACCCCTAAGAGGCTGATGCCAAATATCAAAACATAAATTTAGCATCCGCTGGGTTAGCATTGCATTTAATGTTATATAACATTATGGCGTCCTGACTAGCAATATAACAATTATACAGCACAAAAATCACAACAGCGGCAGGGAACCATCTAAAATCTTTTCAACAGTGGGCCCAGGGACTGGAGTTGCTTATCCATGCCTGTATAAGACTTCACAGTGCCTTAAAAAAAAAAAAAAGTGCACTTACCGCTGAATAAATTCAAGTGTTGCACATGCTGGCTCCTGGTATTCAAGGTTGAAGGCATAGTAGCTTCCAAAAAACACAGAGAATGCATCTGCAAAGCCCAGGTGCTCATCCAAAATGTAGACCACCTTTCCCTCCATGCTCACCATCCACTTTGCTGCATCAAGGTATGTGGTTCCTAAAAGATAAAAAAGGCACACTTTGAAAAAAGCACACTTACAATCAAAGAAAAAAATTCTTAAAGATTATGTAAAGCTTCCCTTACCCAGAATTATCAGTCTTGGTGATGAAGGCAATGTCACGTCCCTCTCAATGGATGCTTTTGTTGAAGTCGTCTTAAACAGAATTAAATTAGGAATTACAACATGCTTAACATGCAGCCCAATAATTATATACAGTGAGCATATTCACAAATTGTTTCTCTGACGATTTGCCAACTTACATCTTTCAAAATGAAGATGGATTCCTCCTCTTCAACGAAGTGGTTCAGCAGCAGAAGTACTGCTGCTATGGCTGTCTTGTTTTGCTGCATTGCTGAGATCCCGTCAATATCCTGAAGAACACGCTGAATGTTTTTGTTGTGAGGGTTTCTTCGGAAGAAGTCCAGAATTCTCTTCCCTTTTGTCTGAAGAGCTTCTCCAAGGCGATCACAAATGTCAATCTCTGTGAGGATTTTGAAGTGATCGCAGAGTCCTCTTTTCGTAAACAGAAAAGGCCATTGTTCTTGTATGTCATTAATACTTGGAGGAGGGCACCCATTGATCATGTGCCGCTGATAAATGTATGTGAGAGACATGGAAGCATCTACATCTGGCCAATCTGCTGCTCTAGGTCCAGCTGACTGAAATATGGCAACCATGTCTTGTCGTCTTTTCTCCAAAGAGTCTGTCGTTTCTCCCTCGGGAAGACATTTTGGCTGCCAGTTTACACAGCCATAGCTGTCCACTTTACAACGTGTTGTTTTAGCTGAGGTGTTGGAATTGCTCTGTGTTGTTGATCGTGGTTTACGTATTCTCTCAGTTGTATTGTTTCTGTTGACATGTTCCACTCTTGTCTTCAGCTGGTTTATAAGGGAATAGTATCCTATTCCAATTTGTTCGCCTTCCTCAGTCATGTCTGAAAAGGTCAGTGGATACTTTGAAACTATCATCTTTGCTATTTCTATGCAAGCAGCTCTGTTAGGGTTTGGACAGTGTTGCTGCATAGCAGAAACCACAACCCGCACCATTGCTCTCCTGTCTGCTGGGCTAGCCCTCTGCCCTCTCAAGATTGCCTGGGACAAGGATCCAGGTATCTGTTCCCATGGTATTTGGAATTGGAGAATCCAAGAGTTTTGAGCTTTTGCCAGGCTGGATCCAGGAAAATATGACTGTGTCTGATGAGGTGTGAAGGAGGACCAACCAGTTCCTCTGTCTGCACCTACAGATGAAAGGGGAGGCGTCTCTTCACTTAGAGTGATGCTGACTTCAGTGGTCCCTTTGTCATTCAGTTCTTTAAAGAAGAAAAAAAAAACAATAATGCATTTTTATAAGTCTAAATCCTTTAATCAAAAAAGTATATATACCAGAACTAACTATATACATATTTAGACAAATTACCTATGAATGGTTTAAAACTTCAATGTATGCTCAAACAATTTACAACAGCTTCTTTTCGTTATTTCAAATATAACCCAAAGGGACCAGAAAACTTTTAGATGAAAATGTAACTTTTCTCTGTATCAATAAGAGCTCAGATAAGAGAAAACAGATGCAAAGAAGCTTCTGTGTAAACCAAACAGAGGGAAAGGCACAGTACAAAAAGTACTCTCTGAAAAACACTTTTTTTGTTCATTTTTTTTGTTGTCCAATTCACTATAAGTGATGATAGGTAAATAACATGATATATATAACCCATATAAACAAGACATTTTACACATGTTGGATGAAGCTGTTTGATGACCAGTTTTGTATTCATATTAATGTCACATGCATTAAACGACATCAACTGACACTAAAACTAAAAAGTAAAACATATATCTGTCGGATAAGTCTTTAACCTGTGACTATCCCCAGTAACCAGATGATACTATTGAGAATTAGGTGTTACATGTATCTATTTCCTCTCTCTGTGACTAAAAGATGATAGGATAAATCTTGTTTAAAAGTATTTGAGTAGATCAAATGCTGTCTCACCCAATTACTCCATCAAGACATGTTTGGACACACTCTGATGGTAATGTGTCTTCAACTATTTTCTTTAAGACTCTTATGAATACATTTCTCACCTCTTTGTTTGAAGGCCTGGATTACTTTTCGGCACTGTATTGGTGTCAGATATTCTTGGAAGTCTTCCTTCTCCACAAAAGCAAGGTCCTCTTTCTTAGTTACTCCAACCACAGATGAAAGGTGTCCTGTAATGGTCATCAGTATTTCGTGATCCAACTCTCTGAAATTCCTGGATCCATTCAACATCCATTCCTAGGAAGAAGAAAGCACTGAGTGATGCAAACAAACAACAGGGAGGTTCAAGATATGATACACTTGCAGTGGATAATAGTCTTGCAACTTTTCTGCTTTCACATATGCATAGTTATGATCTGAGTTATATAAATGATATACTCCCAGATCCACTAACAGAACTGAGTGTTGTACCTGAACAACAAAGTGGACCTGTTTTTCATCAGTCAGTATCAAGGATATTTTCCCGAAGACTAAAGTGTCACCACTGTGATCAAGAGGAACAATCAGTCCTCTTGTGTATTTGGTTCCTTTATAAATCACTGCCGAAACTTCAGAGGTTTTGTTTTTGTCAATATTGGCTGTCTTTAAAACCATCTGTATGCCTTTGTTGTATGACAAGCTCATTTGCCTCACCTGCAATCTGAATGAGAGGTGGGAATAACTCACCACATCCTTGAACCTCCACCACTCCTTGAAATAAGAGTGTTTGCTCTCAAACCTCAGTGTCCACAACCGTATTAAGGGCCCAAACTTTAGAATAAGGCTTGGATAATGCAACAAGTAATGATGCTTTGGTTTAAGAGGATGGTCAGGGAACATGGTGCTACGTAGCTCTACATATTCCTCCAGCAAAACCTTTAAGAATGCAATTTCATTATGATTAATTTTTGGAGCACAGATATACTCAACTATTTCTCTGAGTTTTAGGCATACCTGCCAAATCTCGCTCTCTAAGGGATTTTTGATCCATTTACCAACATAAACTGGCAACAATCGTAAGAAACACCAGTTCTGTGCTGCTGAACCACTAAGCCTTGTAGCATTTTCCTTTATCTGACACGGTTTGTTGTGTGAGTCACTGCCAAAAAGCCTTGTTTGTGAGATTGCCTGATTTATCTGTTCATAAGTGAAATGTTTTTCAGATTTGATCAGATGCTTAATGTAAAGAGCTAAATCATTGGATACTATTTTTTCAAAAAGGTCATGCCCAAGACATGGAGGAAGACCAGAGCACACATGAAACGTTGTCAGTGAGTTGAAAATGGAATCACATTTAATTCCATCCACTATGTTACGGTCAGAAGTCAGTTGTTGAATGCTGTCATTGTAGTTTGCAGGTGTTCTTTGTGAGCCAAAAACAAGTGGAGATTTGACAAACGTCTCTCTGTCAACCAAACAGTATCTACAGAAGTGTTTGCTACTGCTGAAATTTTCAGTGAATCCACCAATTGAATGTGAACCAAGATTATCTCCACATATGGCTATCAGTGATGCTCTAAGGTTGGTTCCATCTTCCAGCTTAAATCCTGAAACCTCTAAATCTTTTAAATCATTGATAAGGTGGGAAAATACCTTGTCTGGTCCAAAAGATTTAAAGTCCTGTTCTCTGCAAAGCAAAACAAGCTGTGCAGGGTCAACACTGGATCGATTATGTGGTAATATTTCTCCAAGTGTCATGTACATGGCCATGAGTTTGTGTTTCTTTTTTCCAGAACCTAAGGGATTTGTCACCTCAAAGGCATCCATGTACAAAATAACTGAAATGGAGGATGACAATGTCTGTAGAATAGCATTTTGTTTGAAGTTTTTACCATCATTTACATTATTCAAAATCATCTCATCATGTGCTAGTAATTTTGATTGTGCAAACTGGTCTTTCACTGTTGACTGCCGAAACAAGGCAGCAAGTGTCTCCTTTACAGGCACGTACTGACAAAAGCGTTCTTTACCACTAATGTCTGTTCCAAGGTACATCTGGCTTGGAGCAACATAGTCAAACTTTTCCTTAAAGAACGTTTTTCTGGTTCTATCCGATCTCAAGATTCCTTCATTGTAAATAGTTAAAAGATCCTCTTGTTCAAGTTCTTTAACAATTTCCTGTATCTGACCCTCATTCAACCTCAGCTGTTGTAGTTTCTCCTCTACTTTTTTAATTACTTGCCTCATTCCAGTGCTATGGATATCTTGAAATTCTTCAATCATGCACTGTACTGTTGTTGCTGGCAAAAGCATTTTAGCCTGATATTTTAAGTAAAATAATGATAGATTCTTTAAAAATCTGTCATTGCTCAACTCTAAATTTATTTCAGGATGTCCAAAATGTGAATTTACACCATCATCTTGCACCTGAGAGTCTTCAAGTTGAGCATCTTGAATTTGGACATCTGGATTTTGCGGTACTTCCAGCTGTGGAACAGCTGGTTGTCTATGTTTTCTTGAGATGTGCGTGGCAAAAGATGAGCGCACTCTGAAACATTTTGAGCACCCCTGAAAAGGACAAGTGACTTTTTTCCCATTACGTATGTGTACTCTTAAATGAATGCAAAGCAAATAAGAACTATTGGCAATAAAATCACATCCTGGAACATTACACTTGTGATCACCATCATGCTGAAAAGTCTCTTTTATTTTTGACACAGTAGTGTGATTTCTGTACATGTGGGACTTTAACGCAGAAAAAGTTCTGAAACTGGCAGAACAAGTTTCTATGCCACATGAAAATCTGTAGTTGGCAAGATTTTTATGACTCCTTGAATGAGCAAAAAATGTTTTAGGACTGCCAGTGCAGTGGTTACACATCTTACACCTTAACATTCTTCAGTTTCTGAGGGTTTTCAAGCCTTTTCAAACCGTTTTTACCACACAACTAAATGGTTACAATAATTTCACACATAACAGCTAGTTAAGCAAAGTATGTATATATCCACATAAACTAAACTTTAAAGCCTTATCTCACGAAAGTTAGTTGTTGGATGTCGATTAGCATGTAAGCTAGGTTACACATAAGTAGCACAATGCTAAACCAAAAGAAGAAGAAAAAATGTCGGGACAAAGCTTAAAATGCTTACCTGAAAAGCTTGCTTGATGGGTTTTCTCAAAGAATAAATGAAAAAATCTTCGGACAATACTGTGTTTATCAGTTTGTGACAGTGGAAATCCTCTCCGGTGGTGTTGACCAAACGTCCAAAATCTACTATTCTTACTCGGCAAACTGTTCGTTGTTCCTGCGGTTGTAGTCATTCTAAGCGGCAAAAAAAAAAAAAAAAAGGATGGCGTAACTAAAATTTAAAAAGAGAGAAGGATCAGAGCCAAAGTAACCGTTAATTACAGTAACTTACAACAATGTGAGATACTGCGGTAGTGAACTGTAAACAATGCGTCACGTGATTCATAATTCCCATGATGCAATGGCAATTACAGTTAATTACCAGAACAATGATTTTGCGGCTTTGTACTGTGTGATGTGTGGTAAATTACTGTTAAAATTACAACCATGTCTAACAGTGTAGCCACCACTCTGTAGGATGCCCCACTCGCTAGCCAGAAGAGGAAGACCAAGGTCTCTATTGTGGCCCCCCATCCATGTCTTCTTTCCTGGCAGAGAAGGTCCAGCAGCACCGCCAGAGACTCTCTGCTCAGCCGAAAGTCTGGTCTGGTGTCTTCATTATTAAAAAATATCTGGAGAACGGGAACATTCAGATTGATGCGGCAGTACATCGGCCTGGTCTGGAAAGAGAGATGAAGGTTGAGAACAGGATTAGATGACAGCAATTTCATTTTAGCTGATACAATTCTAGTGAATGTTAACCCCTTAACGCCTGGTGTTGCCAATTTGGGACCAAACAATTCTGGCCTTTACTTATTTTACTTAATCTAGATCCACTATTTAACCTATTTTTTCGTTTTTATATTTATTTTACCTGTATTAATTTTCTGTTATATAATTGCAAATAAAATCAGGCAGTAAGTGATAACAATTTAGACAAATAAGGATTTATTTCTCAATAATACAGTTTGCCTTCTCCACACAACCTTAGTGATAGTGAAAGTGGTGATTTAAGTCAGTTATTTACAGGGATTGTAAACATTTAACTATTCAATTCAAATTACTAAAGTTACAAACAAGCTTATACCAAGTCTTATAAATATATATTTAAAATTTGATATTTAATGATATTAATTAATCTGCTGACAAGTGTTTGATAAATAACTGGTATATTCTGATCATTAGCAGACCCTAGTGGGGGAAAATAATAAAGGTAAATGTTACCTCTCTACTGCGCTCTGCCAGCCTCAAATATATTTGTCGCCGGTTTTGCTGCCGCCGAATCCGACTCTCCTCCTCCAACATCAGGTAAATAAAATAAAATAAAAATTGCAGTTTCCATTTTGCTATGCCTGAATCAATCAATCGTCAATCGTCTGATTAATGGCGCGGTTTTTCCCGAGCTTTGTGTAGACGTGATGACGTCGTGACGTAACCAGGAAGTGCTCCAAAGGCTAGACCGTCCCATTTACCAACGGCTGAGGATCCTCCGGAGCAGCCTACCGAGGCTGGGTCCTCCGGAGGCTAGGTAGGCTGCGTCCTCGGAAGTACGCAGCCTGCGAATTGAGACGCAGCCCCAATCACACTCTTTCCCTGTCTTTATCCTTTGTAGCCATTAATCATTACTAGCATCCTTCTGCTGCTTCTTTTTTGTGTTTACTGTGGGTACTGCAGATGAAACCAAGATGTGTGTTTTGTTCAACGTCAGATGAACTGGCGGGTCCCTCCACCGCCTAGCTGTCTCAGAGGGTGTCCACTGCTGGACAGGGGGAACCCACCGACGAGGAGCTGCTGGAGGCCACGCAGAAGCAGGGAGAACGTCTGCAGCCGCAGGATCCTCCAGAGCCACCCTCCACGCAGGAGACCCCGTCCAGACGGGACCCTGTGCCCCCTGCTCCTGAGGTTTGCTGACCGAGACTTTATACTTCAAGCATTCTGGCACCAGTAGAAGCCTGGTTTGCAAGTTAGATTGCTGTCTTCTTTCTGCAGATGCTGCCTCAGTCCTGGAGGGCAGCGCTTACAGCAGAGCAGCAGGAGTGGATCAGCTGGAAGCTGATCGTCAGGGACCACATGGGGAGGTCTCGCCTCACCACAGACCTCAACCTGTGGTGGTCCCCTCCACAGCCCCGGCCGGCCT